CAGTACTGAGGACAAAATTACAAGAGTTGTTACGACAGCACAGCACCATAAGCCTAGAAAAGATGAGTGACGCAATCAGACGCACTGGCTTTTACGCTCAATTGGCCTGGGGATAATCTAAGACAATCAACCCAAAGTTTGAAGCTTTAAGGAAAGCTCGACCGTAAATAGACATCTCGAAAACTTACAAACTACAAACAAACAGCAAACTTACTTACAAACTTACAAATATCAAAGAACTCATTGAGCTCAACGTCACGACAGGAGATTGGTTAGTTAAGAAAAAATCGCATAAGAACGGCCATTCCTGCACAAAAAAAAGTTAATTCTGTGACCATTGACGTAATAAATAAATCTGACCGAATGGCTTGAAGGGCTGAAACACGGTGAGCGTCATTGTTTGGCTGCAGTTTCTAATCTAGTGAGCCGTCTCTCGTAAGACAGTGATGCTAAGTGGGAAATCTCGTAGCTCTTGGCTTGTCGTCAGCCAAAAAAAAAAAACTCAAGCCCATCTTGATGTTTACCAAAATTCATCCAAAATGACTGCGCCACTGGTTAACGTTGTAGGACCGCCAATTCTTTTCCCAAAGCCTCTTCTCCACAATAAACATAGCACCTGCCACTTTATCAACTGCATTTGGATAGAAAATTGCCAGTCCTCATGCGATCTATGTAGTGCTGCGCGTAAACTTTTTTGATTAACATTTTTTTTTCAAAAAAATGCTATGCCGCCTATGGATTCTAGAAATGGAAACACACTGCCACAGAACAAATTCGGTGAATCTTTTCCGCTCATTAGAATACTCTCTAATCGGATTGTTGATACAAGCACACTTCAGCATTGTTAAATTGGAATAGTTTTCCATTGCAACTTTTCAACTGTTAACAATTTTCACGGCTTCAAATCCGTAGACAGTATTGCACGAGAAATTCCGTCGCCTAGAGCGTACGGTCAATGAGGAAAACCATACCATTGAAAGTTTCATTCAAAATACTCCGCTGAATGTTGACGTAGAAACTAGGGACTCTGTCTTAACTAGAGAAAATATGAAGTTAAGTCTCCAGCTTATTTGAACCAATGCCGTAGAATTGAAATGGGTAGAATTTCGATGAGAAATTATGAAAGTAGAAACGAATATCTTTCGTTATTATATAACAACTGCAGTCTCTTGTTCGATGATTGGGAGTATTCGAACAAAACAAACATTTCTTCATTTTTCGAATAGGAAGCGCTCATATTTCTCTAGTCAAAATCACACAACCTTATTTCTCGGCTTCCCTTGCCTTATTTCCGTGGGCACCTTATTCAATACAGATACAATGAGAGCTTGAAGGCTTACCCTGTTGCTTCAAAGAGAGGTGTGGTGAGCAAATGCAGCAGAAAGCTTGAAACACACTTGATCGATAGCTGTGTGGAACGCCATTCCCATACGAGTGCGAGAAAGCCTCGCCGTAGTCTAGTTGAGATTTTCTTAAACTTCTTCACTGATCCCTGAGGGCATCCGGACCTACTTCACAGTGTTTCAACAATCAACAACAGTAGCGGCAGAGAAGATTACAAGCCATGCTACAGCTACGTGACCGTCTTCTGGAGTTCACGGGTCATTGCCCTATATGTTTCATCTTGAGCGCATTGGAGCTTGCTGTGCTTTCACCTAAAAAAAAACGCTCGGAAGAGAGCTTGAAGCTTTGATCCTTCATGTTTGTGAGAGTGAATTTCGCCCCGTTCAACCACCCTTTTCATCTGAACCATGTCAACCAAACTGGTTCGAATTCAGTAAACAAGAACAAAAAAGCTGTGATGAATACTTTTGACGGTTGTTGCTGTGTATACTAGGCGCCGTAATGTCTATGATTCTGAGCCTGAGCTGTGCGAATGATACATTCCCAAGAAAAACATTCACATTAGTCTCATCAACATAATCCACTATCACTTTTACCAGCCAAAACTGGGGAGGATACCGCCTTAAAGGGAGCGTGGACTTACAAATACCCTCGGGTGAAACAACAGAACCCCCACAAAAAGAAGTATGCGGTATCCTTCACTATATAGCTAAAAATGAAGATGTAATACACGCTTTATGCGGCTTAATATTGTGCTGCCCTGCCAAGAGTCTAAGACAGTTTCGCAGAGCCACTTTACAGCTATAAGTCCATTCAGTTGTACTCTTGGGCTCAGTGCCCAAAATACTCGTTTTGCATTCACATTTTAGGTTGTATTTGTAAAAGTAAAGTATTATTATAGTTGAGAAAAAAGAACATGGTAAAAGCCTAAAAACCTTGGGAAGAAATAAAAGCCAACTTTCGGAGCAGGGTAAGGTAAAGTTCTTACAGTTGAGATGTCCCTAGTAGCGATATTTTCAGAATCAGGGAACCTGTTGCGAACCGGTTACGCTCTGAACTGGTTTTGGGAATGTTGTTGGTACGGGGGACAGCAACAATGTCAGTACCAGTTTAGAGAAAACGAAAATACTTTGATAGGGATATGCTGGCAAACAACAACAGCTTGACAAGCAAATTAAGCGGATGGAAGTAACAAGAATTCCACCTGCCATATCGTCAATAAAGAAAGTAGGCATTTGTAGGCTTTTGAAAAGTTCAATTGTCGGGATTGGTGGAAGTGTTGAGCCACCACCTAATACGGTTCGTAACCCGTAACTGGTTGAAACACCCAGATTCCTTCCATATTTTATTTGTCATAAAGTTCTTAGGAAAGACCTTTCCAAATTATCAAGTTTTTCCAAATAGGTTTTCTATCCAACGACTCCTTGACTCTGCCAGTCGATACGAATCTAAGTTTGAGAACTGAGACTTTCGTTGCTAACTTTACAGTCCCCTCAACCGCATGTATCTAAGACCAACGGTAGCGTCCACAATTCTTCCATAGGAACTCGCAGGAACTCCAGATTCCCAGATCTCCAAAGATCGAGCAGCCCTATGAAGTGCTTTGAGGGACTTCATTTGTTCGGCACGTGTTTAGTCCTTTGTAGCGTTTTACACGAGTTTCCCATTCCTACTAAATACCTTAGGCTAATCAGGTTTTCGAGTACTTTCGCTTCAGATGTTAGCTTGTTCCATAAGGAACCGAATTGTCTAGTAGAAGCAACGTGCAGTTATACTTATTATATAATAAAAACAAGCCTGCTCTGAACTAGAAAGCATTACTTCCGCAGTCGCGGTCATCCAAGCCTGTTACGAATTCCCAATAAATAGATAGCAGCATCTCTGTGATGTTCCCTTAAACCCACGCCCGTTGATAAGAGCTTAACAAGTGCAGCGGTAGTTGTACTTGTAATTCAATGATTGTAAAAAAACAACAGGTCAGAATGGCTATTCACCAGAAACTGAAGCTAATGCCAGTCCTTAAATGTAATGCCACTGATTACTAATACTCCTGCCGCAGAATTGAACGGATTAGACAATGGCTACAAATTTATGTCTTTCTTGTCGCCATTTCCTATCATTTCAGGTCAATACTGCGGTATGCCCATGCATACTCTTCCCTTTGAAAAGCCATAGTTCACATTTTTCACGGGAAATACTAATAAAAAACGATTTGGATTAAATCGTGGTACAGTTACCACTCCAGCTGTTTTGCTGACTAGAAAAAACGCAGCAACACATCACTGTTTTTCGCTTGATTGCTCAACAAAGCTTAACACCACCAACACTGGTTACACAAGAACAAGCAGAAAAGAGCTTTCCGTTGCTTATTTCACTGGTCTGTACCCATTTCCCGATTTTGTACAAAGTCGTGGCTCATGCCCCTCCTTTGTATTGTAAATGCTTTCCAAAATAACAAACTCAAAACTTTTGAAAAATGCTACATAACATTATCTCCAAGTGAAAGCGAGAACTCAATTCACCCAAGCGAGCAGAATAATGAACTTGGGAGTGTCATCAATAATCCCAGTACTAATGTCGATGAATAGCGAACAGTAATTCAAATGCACAAGTGTACACATAGAAAATATTTATTCACTTTCTAAATATTAAGATTATTCAAAATGTCATAACTTTTGCGCACATGTGAACACTGTTCCACATTTGTTCCATAAATACAGAAATAACCTGGAAAAGTTTTAGTACTGGATAGAACAATAAGGATCTCAAATCAGCTAGATAGGGATTATAAAAAAAACTTTGCTTGATCGTTTCAACAACCTACTCGTATTGCAAAACTACAAAACACAGTTAATCTGAAGATGATTTTAAAAAAGTATACATATTAAGAGGACCACAAATGGAAAAACAAGACTGAATTGCATCTCGGATGCGGAACTTACTTCTACGTGCTTTGTACAAATCCATAAAGTATATTGTAAGCTACAACAGACAGACTGAATTTGTCTGACCATAAACAGATTTTTCAAAACGTTTTCGACCGAAATCTCTTCACTAGAGAAACAAACTTCAACCGAATACAAGTGACACGTACCGAAACCAGCACAGAAAAAGAAAAAAAGTCAAGAGAATTATATGCGTAGAGTCAGTAAAAAAGAGTGAACAACCTGATACAAATCCCAAGATCTAGCTTCTGAATACTTACGATGTTTCTAGCCTTTAATTCGAAAATGAAAGCGAGATAGAGCATTTCTATCTTTTGACAAAAAAAATGGTTTCCTCAACTGTAAGGGTTTCCTTAACTTAATATTACATTAGCAGAAGGAAGAGAAAGAATGCCATGGAGAAGTATTTACAAAAGAATTCTTAGTCGCAAAAACTGCAGGATCTTAAAAGTACTATGTCAAAACAGTTTCTCTCCAGATAACCTTTCATGACGACTTCAAAACAACTTGTCAACCCAAATTCTCTGTCAAACAGTGTCAGTCGTGCTCTTAGGAGCAGATTCGATTGCAATGAAGTTGAAAATTTCAACAAAATAAAAAGATGTGACCGGCACTTAGAGATAGAAGCAATCTACAAGTATGTACAGTATATGAGGAGAGGATATGCCGAAATTAACGACTGTAGAACGTCACAGAAAATATTTCCGAAAACTAAATATTCGCCGATTCACCAAGATTAAGATATTCACAGATGTGAGTCGGTAGCTTATCCTGACTTGCAGAAAGCTGATGGAAAATCGCTTCAGCAGCTGTCATCACATCATCTAGCACCAAATGCATTGATAGGTCGTTTACATGCTGAAACATTTCATGCTGATTAGAGGTATGAATTTGACTTTTCATCGAAGTTGTTTGGCGCCCTTCTGATACCCATTCCAAACGAACCTTCAAAATTTCAGTAAGTCCAAATTTGTTGGCGATGATTGTATTCATTTCTCCGTCGAGGATAGCAACGCAAATTAAGAGTAAGAAATTGGGGCATGGTTGGCCTGTCCATAGCACCTGAGTCATTCAGCAATCATAAACCCTGTTTCTGCGTATTGACAATAAATACTAACCTCCCACAGCTTGCATGTATCTGCGAACGAGAGTTCACGCTTGAACCATACAAGAACCCAACGGAAACAGAAATACATATCATCTGATTGATGACTTTCTAAATGTATAGAGTATATGTTTGAAGCTTTCCAAAAAAAAAAAATCGAGTCCCATTAGAAGTTGTTAGTAAATAAATTGATATTCGTAGTAAGNAAAAAAAAAAAATCGAGTCCCATTAGAAGTTGTTAGTAAATAAATTGATATTCGTAGTAAGCACCACAGCGGAATGGAAATAGTTTGAGAATGTTGAAATCGTTTAAGGAGCTAACCTAAATAATTCGCCAGTTGTGGGTTCACAATCATCACAAGATCACGCAGTTGATACATCTGGAGCTTGATGGCAGCTTGATCTTTTTCAAAGTTCCGTTGCTGAAAATCACAAAAAAGTAAGTCGTTCACCGAAGAAGGGCAGGGCATTGCATACGTTCAGCTCATGCAATTGTGCATTCTGCTACAGAGCTCCACATTATCTACAAACTATCGTCTGAGATCAATAAGCGATCCCTATTAGATTCACAGAAGGGCATGTTATAACATTTGCATTGTCATAGGTTAGTTAACAATATTTCAAACCCACCTTTTGTACTCAAAACTATACTCTACAGTCTTGAATTTTGAGGGAAAACAAGCATCGACGAGAAGTGCAAATAAGAAAGGCGATTTCATTAGTTTCGTTACAGTTCAAGGAGATACTATATACATTACTAGAGAGAGCAAAACATCTTCCAAAGCTCCCAAGCGCAATATTGAGCTTACTTGACATTCGGCTAAAAACAATATCAAACTTGAGAGCAACCAAATGAGTTAAGATTATCTGAGCTAACACGGGGCCAGATATGTCAAGGAACATATCCCCATACATGATTAGATGTGATCTCATTGCTCGCAGATAATCTCTCAGCTTATCTGGGACATGCATGAAAGTTTCCGTAGTAAGCTGCAAGAAGTGAATCAGGATAACACTAATAGAAGCCTACTTACAGACTGCCTCTTCTCACTTTCATTTACGTTACAGTTTGTTTATGTTTGTTTGTTTATTTGTTTATGTTTATTTATGAGATTATGATTTGTGTTGATGTGTTGATTTAGTTCTATTCCTTGTTATCTAGTTCTATTGTTTATAATGTAGAACCAATTGATTTTTGATTATTTCGTCGTTACGGCTTCTAATCGTAGAATTTAGCACACCCATGTTCTAAAGTTACCATATAGCCCTAAGACTACCACTGGAACAACGGGGCTACAGCCATCTGGTGTGGATAGTTATTTGTGTTACTCTTGCGAATTTGTTTACGGCTCCTCCTAAAGGCACTGGATTTCAGATTCCCTTTTTGAGGCGAAAGTGTCAGTGGAGAATAGTGTGCGAGAGGCGAAGGGAGCGAGAAAATTCCCTCAATTCGCAAAAAATAAGGTACATAGAAGTAATGAAAATAGAGGTTCTCAAAATTACCATAACACATATGGCATTGAAGGAGTACTTGCACAAGATTTCAGTCGATGAGACTGCAGTCGATTCGAATGCTCTAGTTCAGTGGGACAGGGACACGTACACATACACATGCACATACACACGCAAACACACTTAGCGGAATATATAAGTAGAATAAATAGCGAACACTATAGCTTTGTAACTGGGTTGCTGCAGATCATCGAATGATGTTGTACATCCCGTTATTCACTCATATAAAGAAAGTGGGAAGTTATATAAAAAATTTATATAAATTAGATTATTATAATTTACAATTATTTATGTTTAGTTTATACGTGTGAGGAGTTCATGCAGTTATTTAGTCAACAGTTATTTAGTTGCCGGAAAGATCGGGCCTTACTATTCTTGAAGCTTCTTATTCAGCCCATCAGTAACTACCCTTCCCGAACCACAAGACATTCCTCTTCACTTTCCACTACTTTTATCCTCTTACCAGTCGGTTTGCCCGGCTTACACCGCGCTTCCTTGTTCGAAGAAGTGTAGTAATTGGCTAATACTCCACTCCTTCTAAGAAACAAGTAATACTTTCGTGTACACGATGTTCGAGACAGGAAGGGCAGCGCAAGTGGTATTCACTGCAGCGTGCCTAGGCCTTTGTTTGGATTTTCGATCTTTTGCTCTCTTTCTTAAAAATGAAACCTGCTAAAGATTCAACTGTTAGGCAACCAAAGTCTTGGGCGGTACACACAAATGTCTCTAGCGATGATAACACATTATCAGATGTCGTTATAAATGAACCCTTTTCTTTACAGAGATATCATCAGTTAAGAATTCCAGATGACTGCCGGTCGGTTAAGTTTTCTCGCAAATGACGCAAATGATATCGAACGAACGTAGTGCCGCATGGCTACCTATCACTGCACTTACCACTCACTTTTGTCACCCTACTCTACCATCGCGTCTTATCAAATGCAACATACTGAACAGCCAAAGCTACATCGTAAATACCGAAGACGTTAGGATTTTGCTCGGTAGATGGCTTTGGCTCACTTATACCTTATCTTCTTTTATTAGTTGTTATCGGCTCCTGTCACAGAGTCCCTACGATCCCGTCATATCCTACATCACTTATTAAAATGCTGAGGTTCCAGTATTTATAGGAAAAGCTGTAATTCTACAAAATTTGGACGCTCTGGTCTAAGGGAACAGAATATGAATTTCCGGTCATACATTCACATACCCCTCTCCTTGTAGGTGGAGTTCGGTCCTGCCCCCACCAAAAGTGTTCCCATATTGACTTCTGTACTTCTAAGAGGTGACGCTTCAGGTCCTGGTAAACAGGACTTATGAACATGCGGTCCGAATCTTCTATCGCGCATGCCCCCTGTAGGTAGATCCTGGTCTTGCCACCTGCCATGAGTACCCATCCTGCCCCCCGTACTCCTACCAAATCCGAACTCTCGAAGTCTCTCGAGAACAGAAGTTATGAGTTTCCGGTCAAACACACACCCCGAGACACAAACAAACAAACAAACTAACAGACACAGTTAACGATATATATATAGTAGGATCTATTTTCAAAGAAATCATTTTGTAATCAGCATGGAAAACTCCTCCTTTCATCCTTCTTCGACTCTTACATCCGTTCGAGTGCCCACTCTTAATAACAGAACCTTTGGAGGAAAGCACGACCTATACCGAGTGGACACGCATTCCTTCTGCTGGTGGGTACACGTGTGGGTACATTCACCTAATTCTGGATGGATGCGGTAAACTGCGCGGGGAAATACACGACGATTCGAACAGCTCTGACGCCTATTATTGGGGCACAAACTATGAGTAGAGTAGATTGGTGCGATCATCTTATACTAGTAATCTACTCTACGACAAGTTTGTTCTCCAATAATAGGCGCCAGAAATGTTTAAATCACCAAGAACTTCGCCGCAGTTTACCTCGTCCATCCAGAATTGGGTGAACGTTCCATCCCCCAGTGGGTACGACGCAGAGACTACTTCTCCGTCTGATTCTCCCACTGAAAGAAATTTTGTTGAAGAAATTTTAGTCTTTCAATCTTTTAGCCCTTGCAAGGTCGTTTCCCAATCTTACATCGCCACATGTGCTAGTCTTTATACAGTCTGTTATTGCATCTGCTTGGTTTCAATATCGATGGGTTATTGCTTCAATTTCATACTCTGATGATGTGAACTAAATAAATAAATTAATTAATGAGTAAAACTGTTTCCTAACAAGATTGCTTCTCCCCTGAAACTGCTTTTTTCAGAAACGAACTCACAATTTTCTTCATTAGTTCCACGAAACACCAGAACGCATCTACTTCGTTACCCATTACGTAAAGTAGTGGTGATGCAAAATCGCTCATTCCTTGGACATAACCTGAACCAGAAAAAATGCAGAATGAAAAAGACAAACATCATGAGGTACAAGATGCCGAAAACTGCTCGAACGGAATGTTACGAAATTACCAGAGTTCCGAACCAATAACACGACCTCATTCCGACACTTGTCATGAGAACTAAATCTCTTAACTTCGAGCGTACTTTTCATTTCTTTTGGAACCGTTTTTTTTTTTGAACGATGACAATCGGCAAAAAAAGTCAAGGTCTAAAAAACGGTAAAGTCAGGATCCAAAAATGTTGTATGGCCTTGTCTAACTGTTCAGAAGGTGAGAACGGTTATTGAAACAGAACAAACATCCTCACGCCATAACGAAAACATACCAAGGTCGAAATTGTACATGACATAAGTCATCAGAATATTGTGTAACATCACCAGATTCGGATTTTCATCTCCGCTGAAGAACTCCATTGATCGGTCGGTACGTGCAACGTCTTTTTCTATAAATACACCGTATTGGCTTTGTATTGAATGTACATACATTCAAATGAAAAGATAATAAATTCGATGAGCCATGATCCAGGTCTGAGAATGTCCTTGGGTATCAAAGTGCTACTATCTACTCTATAACTTGAACTAAAGTGCTGGTCTTAGAAGCAAAACACCCTACTTCATCTTCTCCACTGAGACAATTTGATCTGTCATCAGCTTGGAGGATTTATTATTTCCTTAGATTCAAAAGAAAAACCCGTCTGCGGCACAAACTCCAAAGATAGCTGCTACTCAAGTATTTTAGTAGGAAGCCCAATAAGGTCATAGAGAACTAACTTGTATAAAGAACGAAATGTAATGCATGCAATTTTCAGCTTACCTACAAGACCCTTTCGCTGGCTGTAGCTGAAAAAACGCGACTCTTGATCTTCACTGATTGACAACCACTGAGCTTTCAATCTTTCGTACTCTTTAGCCAGCTTTGCTCGTTTCTAGACACAGAAAATATGTCAAGATAAACACGAAATTGGAAAAATACTTTATGTTGCAGTTAAATAACGGTAAGTGGTAAAAAGAAAAGTAAAAAAAGTTCGGAAACGCAAGACGCTACGTGATGTAATACACTGTAGGGTAAAACTCAGTTTCCCACTTAATTAGAAATTGAATCCAAAGCAGAACCACTAACCCAAATACGTAACTCAACTCATGAGTCATCTAGAATGATCAGATATAGTCTCACAATCAAACGAAGTAGTGAACGAAGGATTCCGAGGGGATCAGGATGTACTACTAAGTTTCTGGCAAAATGCCTAAAGTCAAATGACGTCCACTGCAATAACAAGACAACACAATAAACTTCAACCGTAAACTCTGCGAAGCTCGAGAGCCTGCGAGGTAAAAAGGTAATAGCAGATAGCGAGGATTGATATTTGTGACGCCACGGGTATATTAATGGGTCGTGGTTGGCCGGGCACTCCCACATGTTCTATCGTCCCTGAGCAACTCTTCGCTGTTGGCGGAATTGACGTGAGTGACTTGTTATAATTTCTAGTTGGAAGACAGGCAGTAGGAACGGTTTTGGGTAAACGATACGCTGCACGCGGCTGTCGCGTACCAAATGTCTCGTTATAACGGATCTATTTTCCTTCAACAGCTCAATCGCTATGCAATTATTACTTTTGGCACGATTCTACCGTTAGTTCTATTGTTCCGTATTTCTTAATTACCGCTGAATTCTGCTACATTCCTCCGCGTGCGGCGTCTCTTTCGTCGCGACGCGACGATTTCGTTCCTACTGCACTACACCCTTTCTAGTTGGCTGGAAGTCTGCCGGACTGAGTTACAACTTGTTAACCTCTGTCAAGCATATAGGTAACACTCTCAATTTCCGAGACGCTTTCGGCTTCCGAGAACGCCGAATTTGTCAGGAACAATAAAATGACATACCATTAAAAACCTGTTTAGTACAAAACATTGAATACACTCGTCTATTAGTTTCTCGAGCTAGAGTCCAAGAATGTTTCATTTGATTCCATACCTTATCAAACTGACTGTTTGTCTCATCCCAAGCTCTGTAACCAAGCAGATACTTCCATGCCTCCTTTCGCAAATCCGGATCCAAACCTAAACCATCGTAGTGTCACATAATCAAAATCTAGCTATATTATAAATTTCTTGTACAATTCTTGATAAAATCCATATAAAATCACGGAAAAAAGCTCTCCAAAAATAGGACGTTTGCAACACTTATGTCTGAAGTACCCACCTCCTCTAAAAACGTTCATTTTCAAGTGATGAATGTTCTGTTGATCGACGGTTCCATCTGCCATTTTGAATTTATCCCAGATCTCCTGAATAGCGAGGAAATGAATCAACAGAAAACAAAATATCCTTCAAGCAAGAGCAGATCTTTTAAGAGCGATAAGAATAGGCAGAAACTGATAATCATTAATAATTATCCTTTAAGAAAACGTAAGAGATAAGGCACGTAGTGCTTCAGCATTTGGCAAGGTGAAACAGAGAATCACATAGACTGGGACTACTTCCATGAGAATCACGGGGAACTAGAAATCGTTACGTACCTGAGTAACCGGTGACTCTCTGTAAATTTCGGGACGAGGAGGAAGCTCAAGCTGTGTGACAAGCTCGAATTCTGAGTTGGCATCCAAATTTACCCTTAAGTAGATCAAAATCATTCCGACATATTCATCGATCTTGTAGTTATTGAGAAAAAAATATTAGTTCACCGAAGCTTTGAGGCATCATCTTCTCTTTGATAAAGTTCGCGCATAGCACGTATCTGCTCTTCCTGGCTCACCTCATCCGAATCCAGAAGAGCAGGAATCATCTGAACCGAAAGTATAAAGAAATTCTAAAAAGAAATTTAAAAAAAGAATTGGCGGGCGATCTGCCGAAACCTGCTCTTGCATGAAAGAAGTTATCTTTCCGAAACCTGTCAATGCAGTTGCATAAGGGTTTTTCATGAAACGCTGAAAAAATGATTTTAGATACACACTGAAACTGTTTAGACTACTAAATAAATAAATCTACGCATCTATTCTAATATGTGTTTAACAACCAACGAAAAGCAGTACCGATAAGACATCATCATTCTGCCCTAGAGCGATTACGCTTTGAGCGAGAGCCTCTGTTTTTCCATCGACAACTAGGACAAGATTTGGTTCACGAGCCGATCTACGTAGAGTGATGTATCTGAGTAAATAATAAATTTTCGAAAATTGAACAATATTTGTGAAGTTCTTCCTTTTCAGTTCAGATTCCAAGAAAGCATTACATATAAATTTTACTAAATTCAAAATGGTTCTAGATGATTTCATGTGGCGTAAACGAAACTCGTTTTCTAAACCAGAAGTGCAACCCAAAAAGAAGCGAAGATTGAGGCAAAATTTACATAGTTTGATCAATACCTCTGAAGAACATCGACGAATCCCACTGTGGACTCCGTGGTAAAGTACAAAGGCGTAAAACTGCTGCCATCCTTACAGATCAAGCGTATGTAAGGATGACCTTGCCCTGAATAGTCAAAAATGAATAATTAGGAATTACATAGATGGAATGGTTGAGATGAAATACTAAAAACCAATCGTTAACCACTAACAACGGTTCAAACCAACCCTTTTTAGGCTCAATGCTTCTGAAACTGCTCAAATCATTGACATCCAGAGAAAACGCGAGCCTATTCATTAATTCACCAGCCGCCTAAAATATCACATTGTCAAAACACTCGTAACCCCGTTCTGATTAGTATGCACTGCTGTGACTTATACTATGCAAACCTTATGAAAGAAGTGACTTTTTGAAAGGGCCTTATACTCGATACCTTCAAGAAATCTACAGTTGAACAGTAACCTGTTCAGTTCTGAGCCCCAGTGCTCTATGGCATTAAATTCTGGCGTGATGAAGTATTGTGCTGCCATAAGCACGAAGACAAAGCGGAATACTTCTCCTATTAATGGCATTAGTGATAACATTCTGCGGCGAAAAAAGCGAAATTAGATCTAGCGCAGAACCATGCAGCTGCTTATCAAAATCGAGTTCTAATAAATCATTGATCTATTCTGGATCATTATTTATTTGCATTCACATTGGTAAACGACATACACTAGCAAGTGAACGCATAGAAAGACTCTTGTGCGCAATTAGAAATAGTTCTTATTGAACGCTGTCAACCGCAGAAAATGCAGCTCACTCGTTCTGGACTGTTCGATGGAGAATGAAGAGTCGTTGTCTCGCCACCGTCTTCAGCCAAAACCCATCCAGACGTGTCTGGACCGTACGTTAATCCGTTCTCCTCGCGTGGTGCCCACTCAATGAATACACCAACAGCCTGAACATAGTAGTTACAGAGTGAGGACAAAGTAAGTTACCGAAGCCAGTTGAGTAAAATTGTTTAACAAGGTCAGGTGTGTAAAACTGTTTAAGTGGATCTCAACAAAATGTTATATGCAAGCGGTACGCTGTTGACTTGAAATTCTGTGAGAAGATGAACTCTACACAGGATGCCCAGTCATTACAGTCTTTCATATGCCGTCCTATGCAGTGGTCCGCCGATTGGCAAATTCCTCTGCCTTCTGCCAAAGCTTTTCATATGCACTCAGATCTCCCTGACACACTGCCCTACCTTACAAATAGGAGGTGAATTTAACGGTCAATGAGATTAAGAACTAAGGGTTCCAATGGAACGTTTAGCTTGACTTTTCTACACATTGCAAGCGAAACAACAAGAAAGCGTACAACCGTGCGTGTCAGATTTCTAAATGGTACGCCTCCTTGTTGATTCGCTTGCAATGTGTAGAAACTTTAGAAGCTTAACGATCTAGAGCTCTGACAACCAATAATTTTAGAACACTCATCCAAGAATACAAAATTATGTTCATCCATTACTTGGAAATGAAAATTGGATTTTTACCCCTATAAAAAGAAAGACATTGTTCCAATGAAGGACTAAAATTATCCCACTAAGAAAATGCTGCTCTGTCAAAAGCTTTTTGTATCTGAAATACCAAAAGCTGAAAAAGGAACAGACATTATGATCTTCCTTTTTGCTCTAGACGAGCCTCCTTTTATGCATGACCTACATTCTTCTCATCGAGCCTACGGTTAACAGTGAACAATTCTTCAGCTTCAATTCCTCTATTACTGGAGAAGTCAGCTCAAGTTGTCTTTTTCAGACCTGATACTATCACTAGGTGCAATTTCTTTCTTCACGGTGAGGAGGTCTTATAATATTATACATATACATATCTATCATTTCAGCAAATCCAGCAAATCAAATTATTTTCAGGTTCCTATCGACGCTAATAGCTAAACTCATAGATGAGGCTTAGTTGGCAACACTTATCCATTTCTAGCTCATGATCTATAATCATCACAGTGTTTAATGATGTTGTAGCTATGCTCTATGCTTTACTTTTTAACGTTGCCTAATAAATACAATATGCAACAAATCATATTCATATTCAATAATTCTATAAATAAAATGAAGGGACTAATCTAGGGATACTGAAATCGTGAAATTAAACCTACCTTTTCAACAACAGACAATACGCCAGGGATGTAATCGTTTGAGTCATCACTTGCCTTCGTTGCCACTCCGGATATATGAAGAACAACCTAGGTGTGTCACAACAATGAGATGACCGATTCAATAAAGTAAATGCGTCAAACTCTCAAAAACACAAACATATTCATACTGTATCAAAAGTGTGGATCACGGGTAAACCAGACATTTTGTGAATTTCAAAATCACCAATTCTAAAGGAAAACTAAAAAGAATATGCATAAAGAATAAAAAGAAGATGTATAAATATTTAGGGTACCTGGTCTGGAATCATGGAGCGTGACAAGTTCGAAGTGATTGATTCCAAAGTCGAATCCATTTCACGCTTAGTGGCTTCTCGTTTATTTTTCACGTACTTATAGGCAACGTATGGTAGCATATAGTGTGAACTAAAAGCAAGAATAAGCAGAACGCTGACTGAGCGCAGCGGGAGAGACTCCAAGCAAACGCATAGATGACGTCATTCACAAAATCGATAGCCGACGAAGACGAAACCAGCACGTCATTACACAAAGTCCACCGACAGATGGAATAAATTGATGATGAGAATAAAAGTAAAGTGGAAAATCATCGGACAGGAATGAAATTTCAGTGCAATGCCTAATATGCGATTTTAGCTGACACCTATCCGGGCACCGAAACACCTATAGTAAGCCAACGTCGCAGCAGCGGAGTAAATGGATTCCTGGCACAACAAGCTCCCGATATTCTGCACAAAGAACCGTATCGTGGAACACAACGTTGATGAAGGTTTGCTCTTTTATGGAGACAGCTAATTTGATGGTTAGTTGTCTGAGTTATGTGAGGCCAAACAGCTAAGAAATTTCAAAACATTAAGTACTCAGCGGATAGGCTGCCTTCAGACCTCAACGATTCATCCGACCGTCCTTCCGACTGTCCGCTCAACGCGTGTGCGACGGCGGCGCCTGACCGTTGTTGACAATGCTAGGTCACGTGCCAGCGCTGTCAACACCATTCTAGAACCGCCGTCGCGACACGCACGCAACCGCCGTCGCACACGCGGTGAACGGACGGTCGCGCGGACGGTCGTCGAAGTCTGAAAGAAGCCATAGGCAACCACAGTTGACACAAGGCTTACACACAATCGATGTGGATTGGCTTCCACATTCAGACTTCCACGTCCGTCCCTCCGTCCGCCCGTCCGTCGCGTGCGTGCTGCGACGGCGGCGCCAGACAGATGTTGACGACACTAAATCACGCGCCAGCGCCTGTCAACACCTGTCTAGCGCCGCTGACGTAGCACGCACGCGACGGACGGGGGTCGAAGTCTGAAAGCAGTCATTGGCTGCTTTCATAGTCCGCATTCGGCCTGCGGGCGAGCGAGCGAGCGACCGGGAACTATTCTTCCGGCGGCCAAGATTCAGTTGTAAACAAGGGGCGAACGCCGCCCCGGCCGCTCGCTCGCTCGATCGCGGACTATGAAAGTAGCAATTGGCCGCTTCAGACTTCGACCTCCGTCCGTCACGTACGTGCTGCGTCAGCGGCACTAGGCAGGTGCTGGCATGTGATCTAGTGTTGTCAACGTTGTCTATTGCCTGCACTAGGTGCCATGAAAGGGACCCCGGTGACCTGGGTGCTGTTCACGGCACCCACGTTGCCACTTATGTTTTATCGTTCTTATCTGTTATATCTGTGACGTGTCTTGATCCCGAAATAAGGAGCAAGATTAGCATAAATAAAAAAATGCACGCATAACACATCAGTAGTAGCTAGAACATGAAGCAGGAAAAAATAGAAAAAAAACGTAGTGGTATAGAAGAAACAAAAAAGTAAAATAGAAAATTTCCCACAACAAAATGCTGAGATAAAAAAATAGGTGGCAAGTATTAAGCTCACGCGAACATTTCCCCTCACAGAAGACTGGCCATCGATACGGGGCGTGATTAAAAAAATCACACCAAAATATGCAACGGGCAAAGAGAAGAAAAGCATGATCATCTCTAAAAGTCGTCCCACATCATGAGTCATCGAATGCGAGCTAGGGATATGGCGACGTCGTAGAGTGGTGCCGAGGCACGAGGCAGTGCACCCGGGTCGTTCACTCAAGGGCGCATGATCCATCGGCGTTCAGGGCTGCCAAAACATAGCCAACAACACCGTCGTCGGCTTCATCGTGCGGTCGACCGGTCGTTGCGCGCTGAGAACGCCCATTCAGTTAAAATGATCAAGTGAGTTGAAAAAAGAAAGGATCGCAGAAGAGTCTCATGCCTTCACTACAGAAATTCAGCAAAAATGCTCGAAAAGACGGGATAGAAAACGAGAAATCAATAGAAGATGCAAATAGAATCTGAACAACATAATCAGGGCTGAATCAACATGACTGGCATCTTTCGTAGTCCACGACCGGTCGCTAGCGACTGGCGAGCGCGGGACCGTCCACGGCGGCACCCATAACTAGCGCGGCCTCCTCGACCGATCGAGCGACCAGTGGCGCGATCAGTCGAGCGACCAGTCGCTAGCGACCGGCGACCGGTCGCCGGTTGCTCGTGAGATGGGTCCGCGACCAGTCGCGCGACTGGTCGTGGACTATGAAAGATGCCACTCATCGATGTTGAACGTGGCGGTCTGATGAATCAGCGAGATAAAAGAATTCAGAGCGGCTTGATGATCGAAGTTTCCATTTCATGCCGGAACGGCTTGATTATTTCATTCGATTTAACCCTTTGACGACAATGGCGATTTCGACGTGACGCTCCCATGGGACCACGCCCCCTCCATTTCGTGCGCGACTAGGTCTCATGAAGTACTCCTTTCTCTGGCTTAATAAACTTAGCAATATTTTCGCATGACAGAAGC